ATATAAAATATCCCTAAAAATATGAACCGACGTGTCATAGACATAAATATAATTAGAGTACTAATCAATAATTTATTCAGAAACACAAAAGCTCAACTTTCCCTAGACATTTAATATTTATAAACCCTAAGCGAAACATAATTGGCGAATGATACCCATAAAAAGTTTAATGTTTCATCATGGAATGATTAAAATTAAGAAAATTGTCTTAAAAAGAATATTAGACGTTTAATCCGTAATAACGTTAATGAATAATTATAAAAAAAGCCTTGCTCTCATAAAAAACACGCTCAAAATTATAATATAATATAATCTAATAAAAAATCGTACCTTTTACTTCAGATCCTGTGTTAAGCATGAAAGCATAGAATTTGTTGGACAAAAGTAAATCTGCAAAAAACATAATAAAAATTAAAAATTCAATAAAATCCTTTTTTTACATGATAATAAATCTTTATTTTATGGCCAAAATTCAACAATCTGTTATAATTAATGTGTATCCCAAACTTTTACTCATACGTTTATCATTATAAATACTAAATATAATATAAAATGAATATATAAATATGATAATTGAGTACCTTGTATAATTATTAGACTTATGATTAGAAATATATTTACTATGATTTGTTTTTTATTATTAGACGCAAAAATATGTTTATTTTCTCTTGATTGGTAAGTATATATGGAGTTTATCACATAAAGCTACTTTTAAATATTTACATCCATAGTTTTAACAATCTGTAAATCTTTTACTCAATAAAAAATTAGAAAAACTTTCATAAATTATTTCATACTACAACTACTCAATAATATTTAAGAAACCGTAAATATACTTTAACTCTACACTAATAAAATATTAATCTCCAATTCGACATAGAAATTATTAATTATCATTTTGTAATAAAAACAATAAATATGTATATACAGTTATGCAGATGATTTTGACATCGATTATTAGAAAATATTCAATTTTGGGTTTTTAGTGTTAAAAATAATTATTTGGAGATATTTGGAGTTTTAGGAATCTTTTAGATTAGTGGACAAAGAGAATCCCAATGGCAATACATTACAAGCTATTATATTCTGACATACATACATACATAAATATGTAGATATATTCATATTTATGTATAGATATATATGGTTATTGTATATATGACAATATATAAAATCATTAATAAAAAAATGTGATATTTATAGATGTTCCATATTCATCAACGTTGTAATCTTATATTTTATCTAAAACTTTAACCTAATTTGAAACAGTTTTACATGTATAATAATGCTGATAAATTGATAATAAAGAAAAAGCTCATCAAAGCTCAATAATATATATACAATTATTTACAATTAATTTATATTCACATTTGATAGCTATATATATGTAATATAATTATATAAGTATATAAATATATTTTGTTTTAAAATACCATTTAAAAAAAGTGTTTTAAACATACATGCGCCTATAATTTACTCTATAATATCGATAAATAAAATACATTTTTGAAATCGTCTATCACATATACTAGTTCAAATATATAATATTCAAATATTAGTCTGTGCGTCGTGATTATATTTGATAGAAATTATTCGAGCGGAAAATGATTGACACATCTTCTAAGTTTATATTTTCAATTTATTTCTCAGTACAAACGACGGAGTACGTGTCTGAATCTATAAAACACTTTTGCTGGATATGAAGTGCTCAAAAATGTGTTTACATAAATAAAATACAAATATATTGCAATATAAAGGTAATTTTATAACACACCCCCATAGGTGTATATGGAAAATGATCTTCAAAAATGGGAAAAATATCTGTGTTAATCAGTAAATTTAATAGATTCTAGTTGAATTTTCTTCAATTTAATTATTTAAATTTTCTTTAATTTAATATCAGAGTGGTAAAAGGTTAGATTAAATATCTATACCTAAAATTTCTATATTCAGTAGCTTTTCAAGGGTGTAAGATTTTTTTTTGATGAAATAGAGAGTACATATACATTTCATGTTGAAAATAGTTGGAATGGGATTAATATTATATATTAATTCCGAAAACAGAAAGAGATTATTATTTATTCAGGAAACAATTGTCTTACTTGGATTCATTAGTCCCTTTATTCAAACAATGAATATGTAAGTTTCTGTTAAATAAGATATGAAATTACAGAAGATATTGAAAACTATGATTTTTTGTAGGCGGCTATAATTCATTGACATAAAACTTATTGAAAAGTTTGTTTGCTCATTATTTTACTTTTATTTTTGTTTTGTGTGATGTAAATTCAATTATTTAGTCATTATGCTCATATTGATTTCTTTGTATTATGTAAATAATAATCTACTCGATTGAAATTAAATATGAAAGCAAATGTTAGAGATAAAAAGGTAAATCTAAAACTGCAACACAATATTATATACAATATTTAATCCAATCAAAAAATCTTTAGATATATCTTGAGAACAACATCTTGAGACAACATCCAGTGTGTCAACTTTTGCTTCAATATTCAATATCATTTTGAATAAAATTATTGAGAGTTCTAATTTATCATTGTATTATTAAGATCATCAGAAATGTAATTTTTAAATATATTTTTATTAATAAGTGGAATATCTTCAAATATATTGTGTAACAAATTCTTGGGTTCGTGCAGATGGTGTGGAATACACCATCGAAGCAAAAGAGTTTGTAAACTTGTGATTTTATTTATGATATCTATTATTATTTCGGCTGATTTAAACGCTTTTATTTTTTCAATTATTCCTACGCAAACTTTATTCTATATAAAAATATCGTAAGTTCTAAAAACAACTTGAGTAAGTCTCTATATAATCCACTTTCGCTTTATGGAAAATTTTCACAACGAGTTGTAACGAGTAATATCTTCGAAGGAAACGGAAAGTTCCAAAATATGCTGTTTTAGGTTAGAACTTTTGGGATCGTTGAAGATACTCATAGAATTCAAGAACTTGTCTTATGACAGTTTGAACGACTATTTTTGCGTGTAAAACAAGAGCCACAGCAAAGGGTAATAGAATTCAATTCCATTCGGTATCGAAACAAAATACTCCAGAAGGAAATAACTTCTTCTTCTTTGTGTATATCTTCTATAACTTCTTCTTCTTTGTGTATACAGATTATGAGGTATAAATAAATTCAATAGAACATGTGTAAGTTAGTAACAAAACAAAAAACTGTAATTATATATATCTGCAGCACATTTTTTTCAAGGGTACACATATTATACACAGTTCTAAGTATTTTCCAAGATTAGTATTCCGGTAATAGCAGCAGCTGAAAGGAATTTGCATTAGAGTAAATGCATTTACGTTTCCTTCGAACGTGCCTTTGCATAAATATAACCCGGAATAGAAAGTATTAAACAATATTTAATTTAAAGAGTTTTCCACGGTCGTGCGCAAATTTAGAATGTCAGAAACCAAAATTAAATACTAAACATGCCACGTGGAACAAGTACTTAAAAAACCTTTTTAATAAAAGGCTAAATCAAACACTCGCCTAGTTGCTATTTACGTTTGTGAAAATATATTGCAGTTACATAGGCACTAAAGTAGTCTTTAATTACCGATTTTTCACGCTAAATAAATATTCATGACAAAGTTTGGGGTAATGCCTACGTGTTTCATCTGATGCTCATTTTATTCAAATCCAGTCAAAACAAATAAAAGTTATTCGCCTTCAGAATATTTGATGGACTCAATGTCTCGAGTGGACTTGAAGAAAGTAAAAAGAGACGATCAAGAAAAAAACACTTTTTAAATACATAAAAAATATATAATGATCCAATATTCCATTACAGGTTGGCAAATTTTAGAGCCTATTATGTTACGATCGATATCTTTATTAGAATGCTATTTTACCCTATATTGATGATACGTACTAGATTATGAGGTATAAATAGATTTAATGGAATAAATAGAATAGAAAGAATACAACCAGACCATTCTATTATAAAAAAATATTTTTCATGGGTAATACATAATACTAAACTCATCGAATGTTCCATTAAAGGATTGAACTTATTGTACGCCGTAAAAACAAAGTAGTATTTTCGATAAATAAAAATATGATTTATCATTTATATAAAACGCAAGCAAGGGCATTTCGTTCCTCAGAATGAAAAATGCTTATAGATTCAGTTACGATATTTCTTAAAAAATTTCTATACAAATCAGGAATGTGTTTAATATTATTTTTAAAAAAAATTATAATAGCAATTTCTAATATAATTGTTCTCTTATGGAATACTAAATTGGTTTCCCATTATAACTAATTATTAGACACTCTCATGTAATTCAAGAATTATCCAGAAAACAGTTTCAAAGAAAATGCTATTTAAATTTTCGCATCAAAGAATGCAACTGGAAATAAAAATTATAACTATTCATACATACATGATTTTCATATAAAGTGGTACTAAAAACTTTTCAAATCCTATGTGGTTGTTGTGCAGTCAGGTTATTATAATAATAAGTTGCATTTTGTATGTAAAACGCGTGATCGCACAGCAAATACATGGCATTTAGTAACGTTTTGTATGAAAACTGGAACGTGACATAACCTTGCCATAACATTGGTCTATTTTACGGCGGAATTATCCCATGTCTTTGCTAAATAGTAAGTATAACTTTTGTATACATACATGAGATAAAATTAAAATTAAAGTCTTTGCTAAATACTAGTGGTTGCACAGTCAATAAGATCTTCAAATTAATTTGAACATGTCGCTTCGCCATTTTTTTACAATTTTCAATCCGTGCAAGCTCGCATCATGTTCTTATATTCAGCATTCGTTGATCATTTAAATAAAACGTTCCCTTGCAGGCCAAAACAAGGGATATTATAAATAAAATGATCAACTCACGCACATAAGAACATTAAGAAGTTCTTAAATCTAATATAAAACTCTGTAATATATAATAATTAAATAGAAAATCTTTTACATTTACGTACATTGTTGAGTATTGTCCTTAAACGCAACTTTCCTCAGGCGGGACCTCGTCTCAGCTGTCGCAGCCGTCGTCGATGTTTGTAAGGGAGGTGCAGTTCGGATGTTTGGTCGTGCAGGAGCGCAGGGCGAACGAGCTGGTCTGCGGGGTTGCCCGCCTGGACAGCGCGCGGTGCGCGTGCAGGAGACGCTGGGACGAGGTGCCACATCCGTTTTTGTTTCTGTTTCTAGATGTTCCACACGAACAGAATAACACTTCTCGCATACCTGAAAAAAATGTTAACAAATATAATCATAAAAGATTTCAATTTGAAATTATACAATTATGTTAGATATTGAAATATTTATTGATTGGTAATGAATATGATGCTATATTTTCAAATAAATTATATTTAATACCTTATTATTTTAAACTTTTGTTATACTTTGTTTCAAATTCAATCATATTGTTATATTGTTGTCACTGAATCGAAATAAAATAATAGTTGAGCACTTTTATAATCATTAATGCTACGTCATTAAATAAATATATTTGTGTGTAATATATGTATATTACACATACACACACACACACACATATATATATATATATATATACAGTGGCGTCGGAAGCAAATTTTTGATGGGTTTTCGTCGTTTTTTTGGTAGGCAGCCAGTGGGTTCGTTTTTTTTAGTTATTAGGCCCTATCATATTTTGATATTGAAGGGTGGACCCATCAAATTTCATGGGTGGGCTCAATCCCACACAGCCCACACGGTTCCGACGCCACTGTATATATATATATATATATATATATATATATATATGTATTTATTAGATTATTGCCTCGAAAATGTACGCATAAACTACTTTTTCCGTGTAAAATATATTATATTTCACAAATAATGCTCTGTTCAACAAAAACAAAAAAACAAGTTAGTGTATATATGATAGTGCAAAAATATGTGCCATACGTTAGTTACTGATTTAGGACCTTATTTATATCCACTGATGATGACATAAAATCCTATGTCGAAACGTTTGGAACAAATTAAAGATTAACTTCTAAATCTTTGCCTTTTGTTTGATGTATTGCCCTTGAAGAACTTACTCATATTTCTCAACATCAAAACTAACTTCTTTAACACACACACACACACACACACACACATATATATATATATATATATATATATATATATATATATATAATTAATTAATTAAATGACTACGCAGCAAAAATTCTAGACGCATATCAAAATCGTACTCATTTTATCTAAAGCAAAGTTATGGAAAGAAAATTATATAAAATGTATTCTGTAAGCTTATTGAATGATACTTCGATGCACTTCAAAAGACGAATGTTTTGATTTATTCAGGAGATGTTTTTGAATTACTACATTAAAATAAAATTTAGAAAATAGTTTGAAATCATTTAAAAATATAAAATGTTTTACTTAACTGTTTTAAAACGAATGGAAATAATGTGAGAATAGATAATGGTATCTTCAAAGAACTATATTTATTTTGATCGTAATACAAATAAAATAATACAAATAAAATACCCCGGTGTAATTTAGAGGTCACATTCTAAATTTTTCGATAATTTACCAAATAATATTTAATTTTGATATTTTATATAACAATTACAATATTTATGAGCTTTCGCTAGGCTTTTCAACCTGAAATAACATTTTCAAACACAGAATAGCAAACATTATAGACCGGTGTGACTTGAGAGTTACATAATTCATTAATACCGACAAAATTTCTTATTTGTATATACAGGCTGGGCTCGCCCGTAGGTAAGCGGTTAAGAGCGACGGGACTTGTTTCAGAGGTCCCGGGTTCGATACCCACTTTGAGCAGTCTGTTGTCAGGCAGCAGTGACAACGATTTGCACTTGGAAATATAGATAGCAATATGTTTCCAAGTGAAAATAGCCCTTGCCCGGCATTGCTGCACCAATAAAAAGTCAGCCATATTACATTAATTCTAATAACAAAAATCATCAAATATGGATGGATTAACCATTGGGTTACCATCTAAAAATAAGAAGTAAAGAGAAATTTCAGCCCAACAGCTCATAGGACGTAAGGTTTTGATTGCTGTTAAAAATATAATATAATAATAATAAAGTTATTATTTATATATTAATAAAACAGGCATTAATAACTGATTTTTTGTTCTCCTATTTTTCTATGTAAAACAAAAAGCCCACAGAACGTCAATTATAAACTTATCTACGAACTAATTTATTACACAAATATTTTAAATGATTCAATTTAATATTACGGTAGGTATTAAGGGGCACAACTAGTGTAACCGCCTAAAAAAAAGGTTATTTTTGGAAATTTATATTGAAAAAACTACTTCATCAATCATTTCAAAATTTTAGAAATATATTTATATATGTTTTAAAAATACATAGTAAAATTTTTGAAGAAAAAAATTAACTATTTTTCAAGTTATCGTCGATCTCCAACGGCGCGACAAAAAAGAGGCCCTTAATTGCTGCAGTAATTCTGGCCTTCTACGTGGATGAAATAAAAAAAAAAATTCTCGTTAAACTAGATAATATTATCTGTAAAATAAACTACGATAAAAAAATGAATCAAAAACTGACAAAATGGCGGCGTTTTTTTTTTAAAAAAGTCGAATCTTACCCAAAATTTTGGTCGTTTTTCGACTGCCAAATTTCGATTTTTGATCCGATCAAAAAATCGATAGTTCATTTTACTGAGAACTATATACAGAACATGTAAAAAAATGATAGTGATCGGATCATTCGTTTTTGAGTAATCACTGCAGCAAATTCGGAAAATGCTGTTTCGAGAAAAACGCGTTTAAAGATAAAATGATTGTTGTACTATATACTATATGTATACTTTTTAAATGGCTGTAACTGAAAAACTATTTGAGATATCGATTTGAAATTTTAATATGTTATTTTTAAAGGTGTAATCTAGCGAAATATAAAAAAAAACAAAATTCGATTTTTTCAAAATTTCACACTAGTTGTGCCCCTTAAAGCCTAAATTGAAAAACCAAATATATATATATATATATATATATATATATATATATATAACTACCTTTTCTAAAATTTCTCGACAGAAACGCGTACAACAATGGATTGACCCCGCTGTTGAAATACGACACCAAGAACGTGAGTGGCGTGAACAGAGTACTAAAATCGCTGTCTCCTTTATAATCTGCGGACCAATGCTGCCACATTTTGCGAGCATGCAGAGGAAGATTGCACAGGGCGAATGCTAAAACAACAGCAATCAGCATTCGGATGACACCTCGTCTGGCACGGAGAACATTTTGCGAAGAGGCGGACATCGTGTAGGCCGCGGCGGTCGGCTGAGTACCGTAGGCCGCTGGCTGCTGGTAGTGACGCGGTCCACGCCAACTCGCGCCGCGCAGGGGCCCGTGGCTGCTGGAGAGCATGGGGGTACTCGAACCGTCTAGGGGCTGAACAAAAATATTGTTATCAATGTCCTGATTAATTGTGATATCTTTGTTTTATATATATGTTAAGGTTTTGTTGAATATTTTACATTTATAATTTAATTTTTAGTATGTGAATATAAATTTTTGTTGTTTGATTTAACAAGTTCTAGAGAAGAGTACATTTCATGTACGCAAAATATAAAAATAATTATAAATGAAAAATTACATCATATAATTAAATTTTATGATGTATATACGAGGTGTGTTCAAAAAGTACCCGGAATTACTAATAATTAAATTTCGCGGGTCTGGAGTGTCTGATTGTCAAAATTTTTTTTTTATTGTGTTGGTATACATGCCCCTAAAGTATGATGAAATTTTCAGCTATATTCACTGTTTACTTTGTCTGTGGTAGTCGCTAAGGTTCGACGTGTTTTTCTGAGCTCGGCGATTTTTACAATGGAAGAATTGAAAAGTCAAAGAATTTGTATTAAATTTTGCGTAAAAAATGAAATAAAGTGTTGCAAAGTGCAAAAATTCACCAGATATGGCTCCGTGTGACTTTTTCCTATTCCCAAAGTTGAAGAGACCCATGAAAGGACGGCGGTTTTCCTCGATTGAAGAAAATCGCTGAGAGTGCTCAAGGACATATCAAAAAGTGAATATCAAGGGTGCTTCGAAAATTGGAAAAAACGCTGGCATAAGTGTATTATATCTGGAGGGGACTACTTTGAAGGGGACCACATTAATGTAGACGAATAAATAAATATTTTTTTGAAAAAACGAAAATTCCGGGTACTTTTTGAACAGACCTCGTATAATGCCGAGAATGATATACTGTAAAACTGTAATATACATGAATTTAGTGCTTTTGAACTAATCAGCCCATATGAATTTTTTACTCAAGAATATCAGTATACATATAAACATACTACATGACCCGACAGACGTTGTCCTGTACCCACGCATACAATTTTTTAATATAATGTACTAATATTTACCGCTTATCTAAAAACAGTAATTATTGTCTTGTAGACATGCAGATATTTCATATTTTTGAATTTGTTATACATATTCAAATATTGTCTAGGTTCATAAGTAAATTGAAATTTTTGGCAGATGATAGTATGCATTTATTTTCAATGCAAACAATGACATGTCGTTTTTTGCAATTTTTTTCCATTTATTTCTACAATATTGCACATACATCCCAGAACTTTATAATCACATACATCTTAGAAAATTTCCTTAACACACTTCAGAAAGATTTATCAAAATTTGAATAATCGTTTAGAAGGAGTATACAGTGAATGCTTGTAATTTAATATAAAAGTTATATAATAGCAATAAAGCTCAAATTGATTTTACGTTTTAGTTAGAAAACGATTGTATGAGAAAAAGTAAAGGGCTGTTTTTAGGGGTTTTCCGCAATTATTCGATTTTTTCTTGCCGTAAGAACCATCCTTGTACATCAACGAACATTTTAAAACAAGAATTGGCCAAATTGGTCCAGGCGTTGTTGAGTTATGCGCTTACCAACACATTTTGCGATTCATTTTTATATTATATATATTATATATATATATATATATATATATATATATATATATATATATATATTAGTGATGTGCCAAGTCGAATCAAGTGATTCGAATCATTCGAATCAAGCCTTTATCGACTTGATTCGAATCAGATTTTACTTGATTCGAATCAACTCGCATCAAGTCGCGAAATATTTACTGTGATAAAATATGTATTAACACAAATTTTTCATGAATATAAAATTTTTCATAAATATAAATATAAAAAAATGTTTTTATTTTATTCAATATTATAATAATATAAAAAATAAATATCATAAATATAAAAAATAAATAATGAATTAAATAATGCGAGCCACCCGACTTTAATATGCTTAAATGTATCAGCCAACTCCAATCGTCTTTGTGTGACTTTAACCGCATTCATCGACTAACTATATCATCCGACTTCATATGAGCCAACTCGAATCAAGCGGCGATATGAGTTATTCCGATTTCATGACTCAAACCGAATCAAACGGCGATATGAGTTGTTCCGACTTCATATGAGCCAACTCGAATCAAGCGGCGATATGAGTTATTCCGATTTCATGACTCAAACCGAATCAAACGGCGTTATGAGTTGTTCCGACTTCATGAGCCAAACCGAATCAAGCGGCGTTACGAGTTATTCCGACTTCAATTCTGATTCGAATCATCCCGACTTCAAGCCGTTCGAGCGATATGAGTTCAAGCGATATGAGTTAACCGTATGGGCGATACAATGCGTCGTCGTTCTTGCGTGTTTATTTATTTTACGGAGCGCTGAGAGCGATTTTATTCGTGAAATATCAATACCCAATTTTGATAATAATTAAGTGTTTTAGATTTTAAATGTTATCAGAATAAACCACTCGAAATTATGAAACGAGTTTCGGGAATCTTTCAATATAATTCTCTTTTGAAACAATTACTAAACACCAGAAAGTCAGTAAATAATATGTTAACTTCTGATTATGTAAGTAAAGGCAAATTCACATTAATGAAATTAACTTTCAGCTCTCAGTTTAGATGCGATCCTTTACTGATTACATAGTAAAATAAACAATCGACCCATGATTCCAAATATTATTTTATATGCTTTAGTGATGCACAATTGTTTGGTAATCTATTATTGTAAATTAATTTGAAGATATGTTTTAGCCGTCCTCAAAATTACATCATTTTTAATAATTTTCAGAATATACTTTTTGATAGTGATTTATGTTTACAATTTCTACTTTGTCGGTTATATTGGTTAAACTGACAATTTTGATTATAAATTTGGATCACTTTTACTAAATTAATACATCCATCATTTTTTTTGTCCATATATATACTTGATTCGAGTTGATTCGAATCATGATTCGAATCAGGTTTTTTTCTGATTCGAATCATTCGAATCGGGAATTTTTCGAGTCGGCACATCACTAATATATATATATATATATATATATATATATATATATAATATTATGAAACCATTAAATTAAGTGCATATTAATATTTTTTATAAAGAAATTAAGAACACGTGTTCGTTCTAACTCATTTTGTTCTAGCTTACTAAAAGCATCTATTTACATAATGTCCTAATTAAATATCCATAGCACAAAGGATACTTAAAATCATAATCATATCAAAAGTATTATTCATGCAAGAGGAAAGCACTTTAACCTTTTGACATTATGAAAAATATATTAATAGAAAATTAGGTATGTTAACATATTTATAAGAACGTAATGTTATCAAAAATATAGATAAAAGGTTAAATGCTGATAGAAAAGGAACATGTCTATATCAGGTGCAAGCATCTTAAAGTGATGGCATCAGGAATATGAATTTTGATAATGCATTCGCAGATATATTTGCGTAGATTTGCAAAAATAATAATTTTGCATTAGTTATGTACAATAATTATACTCTATAATTATTTTTTTCCAAAAATGCGTGAAGTATATCACATTTTTTACGTGTGTAAAATAAGTAGAAAAAGTAAATTAAATTATTCACTCTTTTATCATTTTGCTGATTCTATTTAAACTAATCCTCCTACGTGATTTGCTTTTTACATTCCATCTTGTTCCCGAGAAGACGAGATAGAAACTTTGTCTCCAAAACTTTTGATAAGTTTTTGTGCTAACCCAGACGTTACATGAAATATTCGTAAAATTTTTGCAGTATATATTATAAACGATAATGTTTAATATTATATATTTAATCTTTTTCTAATTAAAAAGTTTTTCTTGAAGAACCTTCATAAGCCGCTGAAATACTAAGAGAAAAAGATTGTTGGAAATTATTTTTATTTTACTAGAGTACTTAACAACACCTTGAGCTAACCAGCGCAGAGATTTTAATGAAAATTTTTATTTTGGACAAAACTAATTTTGTGGTTTGTAATAATAAAAAAATGAAATGTTTAATATATATAGATATTGTATCACAAATATAAAAATAACTGGACAAAGAATAAATGCATGTTTTTAAAATGTCGATTATTTTTTCGAGGTTGAAACATATTTAATATAATGATTATTATTAATAATTATTTTAATAATCATTCTTTATTTGACACTTTATATGTCATCATTCAGTAAATATAAATGACTAAAAATTGTTTTAAACAATGAATACAATCTCAACTAAATATTAAAAATAATTGAGTTAAAATAAACATACAAAAATAATTGTTTGCTGAATCAAAATTCAAAAACATAAAGCTAATTTTAAAAACAAACAAACATTTTTTTAATAAATCCGTGCAAACAATCCTTGATTTATGTACGCTTTATACGTTCATTATGCCAGTTTCCGTATCTAATCTTTCTGAAAATTTATGCCACATTTTGCAACAGAGTTTGAAATGAATTTCTCGGAGGCGACGAGACGCAATGCAGCAGCAGCAGCAGCAGCAAAACAACAGTTTCCTCCAGTATTAACTCCCCAGAGTGCCATATCATGAAACTAATAACGGTGTTATACTTGTCCGACGTTATTACTGTTTGTTTCCACTCTTACGATATATAATAAGGGATATACAATAAAACTGATAAAATGCTATATTTTTATTACGGAGTATCTGCACGAACCATGGCTCTAAGTAAGTAAAGTACACCAAAACTATTTTGAATGCTTGAAGATGTGCAGCTAGAGTTGAACCGAAAAGGTAATAAATGAAGAGTACTTAACAGATTCGAACAGAAAAAAACTCTACTGAGCGAAAGAAACCGAATCAGAGTTATATTAGGTAAAAAGAGCTTTCTGCTCGACAAAGTCAAAAATAGAGCTAATGTTAGTGGAAGGCTAATCGACTTTATGAGATGTGTAAATAATGTGAGGTAATCATTAAGAAATCAGAAATTGTCGTATAGCATTATAATGTGAAAATCTCTTGCAGGTTATCCAATAAATTCAATAAATTTTTCACAAATAAGTTATTTTCAAATAGTGGTTTGAATATTACACCTCATTTAATTGGTGGATATGAAAGAAAAACATAACTAAAATGATTCGATTAGAAAATTAATTCATTATTAAAATTAATTTCTTTTATAGCGTATATATATAGTAAAAATTTCAGTATTATATATTATTATATAATTATTTTTATTTAATTGAACGTTATAGTGGAAATATTATTTATAATATATAATATATAATTATTCTTCATACACAAAAAATATTTGGAATTTTACTATCTTGACATGATATGGGTTGAAATGCTCAACATGTCATATCAATTTGATAGGTTGGTATGCGATATATATTACTTTATATATATATATATATATATATATATATATATATATTCATGTGTGTGTAAGTATATAAATTCTGTTGTTAATGGTGAACCAACAATGTAAACATAATCACTTACATAACATCAACCGTCAAATAAGCAAGTTTTGTCACCGTTTCTATCATTCGCATTTAAATAGACTGACAACGTGCTCACTGGCTTGTAGAAGCTTTCTTAAAGTCAGATTATCCTATTATACCAGTCTGCTGAATACTTATGTATTTCAACTCGGATAATATTACGTCCTAGCAAAACACAAAGTTTTTGAGTGTCGTACAGCCGCTATTGTATATTCAGGGGTCGTTGGAAACCCACATTAACAAACAAACCGTTGGTTGCCCGATGATGCTATCCTATGCAAATAGAGTCTAAGACTATAAGAATTAGATACGCCAATCACTCAGATGAATAGCTCTAATTATTTAAACCAAGTTCGCAGGACGAAGGCGAACAGTCCAATGATATGTCAGGGATCGTCTGGAGTTAATAAAAGAATTATAGGAAAGGAGATGAACGAAATCATGCTAAATAAATCATAGTAAACAAAAAAGAAAATTAAGTTAAAATAGTAATTTTACAAGAAATATATTAAATTAATAGTTATTCCAACACTTCTCATGAATATTTTTGAAATACTAGATCTAGGTTATATACAGTGTTATCTCTGTAAAAAATGTACCCATGAAATTAATATTTTGCATTTCTTAAATAATGTAGCTATTATTTCGTTCAATTATTTTAAAATTAAATGTGAGATATTGGATCTGTTTGCCCCCAAGCCGTTCCATTTTACCAAGCCCATGGGGTAAATAAGACAAGGTGACAAATTTTTGAGAAAAAAACACGTTTTCACAATGATGAATTATCTGGGAGTTTTACTGAATACAGTCAGATCTTCAGATATATTTGGTTCGGTTTTCACAATATAATTGCTGAAAGCCAAATTGGACCTTTGTGCCACGCCCTATCCTATGTATATGTGCGTGTGCAAGTGTGTGTCGCCATTAAACAAGGTATGTACTTCTTCTATTCAAGTAATATAATATCTATACGTTTCGATACCTCATTTTACTTTTTTTCAGTGGACAAAACGCAGAAGTTATTTTGACTCATAACACTAAAGAACTAACAATAAAAACATAAAACAATAAAATAAACATTACAACAACAAATATGTTACTAAAAAATAATGAATATTCGATTCGAAAAAACTAAATGAAGATAATAATTTTGACCATTTTGCAACGAAAGGTTGATTGTGACAGTCCTATATATATTTAATATGTTGAATATATGTATATATATATATATATATATATATATATATACAGGGTCGGTTCTACCTTGCATGCAATGCATGCGAAAAATGCGGGTGCAAGCCTTAGGGGCGCCAAAATATGGTTCGGAAATAAAATTTATGATATATTATTTATTTTTTTCAATATAAAATCAAGAATACATACTAGATTATAATAGTCTATCTAACTAGTTGAAACGGAACTTATTAAAATAATAGATACAAATTAAATCAGAGAAAATGGAAAATGGGGAGTCAGTGCTTCGAAAATGGCTTATTTATTCTGAGAAATTGAATTGTAACTTTTGTTTTTATAGCAAAAGCTTCGCATCTGATAAACTTTAAATTTTGAAGTCATGGAAATGAAGAAAATATGAAAAATGGAAGCAAAATTTACATTGGAACAAAAATCTTTGAGCTTTTTTATACATAGTGGTGTTCATACTCTAAATTTGATTATTAACTATGCGAAAATAATACAGATACAAATATAATTAGTTTTTTTTTGTTTCGATATAGTTCAAGAAATATGTAATTTTTCGCATTTTTTACTAATCTTTGGACAATACCTTTGAAAAACGTTAAAAACTTAACTTCAAAACAACAATCTGATACTCTGAATTTAATGGCAAAGTAAACATGAATACAGTTGGGCCTTTACGATATCAATTATTTTAATTAAATTAAAATTTTAAAAATCCTACATGAAATACGAGTGTTATGTTCAAAAATGAAAGGCTAGTTTTTTTGCCCTCTTATCATGATTTGCTCAATAGGATATATGGCAAACTAAATAAGTAAAATGTTTCAAAACCCAAATATTAATATTACACTTACGATAGAAATAAATGAAAATCTAAAAATTTGATTATGATCAACCCGCAAATGAATTTTACACGGTTTTAGATTATATTTTTAGATTATTTTTTATGTACTAAATCCGGAATGATTATTTAAATTAAATACAAAAAAATACGTTAATATTTATACTATTTTAACAATAAACTATTAAAACAGTTAACATTATTAGGGGGTAGGGCGCTAGAAAAAAATTGCATGCGTTCGCTGAGGACCCCAGGACCGGCCCTGTATATATATATATATATATATATATATATTTTATTTATAATATAAATCTACTTATATTAAAGAAATATCATAAAAAATAATATTTATTACGATTATATTTATCACAAAACTGAATAATTATAAAATTTATAAAAAAAAAATTAAAATCTAAAATAAAATCATCTTTAACCGGCTCTGCCGTTATTTTAATTACCCATGTCAGACTTTTAACTTTTCAACACTTTAACACAGCACGAATCTACAAATTATCATAGTTATAATACCTAATTAAATTTATACTACATATAGAACAGCGTCGCTAATATAGTTAATCTCACCTGGGGCCCGTTGACCATTCTGGAGTCGTACCTCCCCGACCTCGTCCTGTAGAGGGCCGCGTGATAGGCGGCCCCGTTGTTGGTGGCCGCTTTGCTCGCAGCAGCCCGCTGCAGGCCGCGGGAGCTGCGCCAGAGACCGACCGCTATACGAGTGTAGAGCACCTGATAAGAACAAATCGATACCTGAGAGAGATACATTAACGCGGAAGTGTAATTACCACGTCGAAGGCTTAACGGATATCTTATTGGCAGTAGTTAATGGGTAAGTATTATGTTATGTATCGATATTGAAGATTTTATTTCACGTTTTTATTTACAGATAATATATTACTACATGTTGACATTTATGTTATTGAATAATAAATTGAAACTAGTGGGGTGGGTGGCATCGTGCCTTAAGGCAAATTGCTGGAACTTTCCGTACCGTAACGAAATGTTCGAGGAATACTGAATGTTTTCAAATAGGTTTTTATTAATATTGTAACATTGTCTAATATTTATAAGAATTATATAAACTGAATTGCAAAGTTAAAATTATTTGTTTAAAGTATATTAGAATTTTAGTCAGAATACAATACAGAGAAAAAACTAAAAAAAAAAGAAAAAAAATTATACAATTTTTTTTCCAAAATCAATTATTTTGTTAAAACAAGCTGAAAGTTTTTTGAATCATTTAAATTGGATGCTTAGTTCTGCACATTTAGCTCTGTATCTTGGAAATGGCCATTGCCAAAAACTAATAATCACTTCTCCCAATCATTACTAATTGAATGTTTTTTAGATCATTCAAATCGGATGCTCCGTTCACTCCAAAAGTCGATTTCTATTTTCTGCGCTCTTTGCTCTTTATCTCTGTAACTACTGGACCTGCCTTTGCCAAAAACTAATCAGCTCTTCTCCCTATCGATAGGAATCGAATGTTTTTTGAACCATTCAAATCGGTTGATCCGTGCGCCCGAAAACGTGACTGGAAATTTGTATCCATACATACATGCACACACACACACACACATCCATTTTTTCTGAGGTATACCAAAATGTTCAGAAACCTTGAAAACGTCGAGAAATGTAAAAATTTTCAATTCTGATTTTCGGTCCATTACAATTACCCTACGGGAAGTTAAAAAATGCAAATTGCAATTTATAGATGTTATAACACGAAAATAAATGTTATTTTTTTAAGCCAGGTTATATTCTACGTTACATATAAATTTATTCATATTTTATCAAACAATCCTAATAACTATAAAAACAGACAAATTTTACTTATTGTTTAAATTTTTTTCAAGTAAATAAACTATTATAAGTTAAATATAAGCAAATATCGGACAATTTTTTAAAAAAAAACTGTCGTATTAGTAATATATTAGTATATCTGTATGATTTTTCAACTATAAAGTTGCTAATTGTGGATATTTTATACATTCTAACTTATTTAACTAGAGTCTCCACTATAGACCATATTTTTATACCGTATCCTGGGGAGTAGGTTGACAATGAGTATTATATTTTATATTTTTTGATTTATAATTGATTTGCTTCTAATTTTCTGCATAATTAACTTTAATAAAAAGAATAGGTTTAAGGGTGTTTTAGGCAAAATTTATTCAGTATAATTTTTGCTAATTTTCGTGAATTTAAAAATGATAGTTCCAAATTACTCAAGAAGAGGCTTTAGCTTTTAAAATTTGGGTTAATTTAGTTGATTTATTCTGATGCGTTGATGTAATTTCATTAACAAGTAATAGAACAGATTTAATTCCTATCTAAACTTTTTAAAAATCCTGAAAATTTGGAACAAAAATTAGAATTTGGGACATATGTTTATAGAAAAATCCTGGACGCAAAAGGTAGAAATCCGAGACCGTTCCGGCCAATCCTGGGCCTTCCATTAGAATCAAGTTTGTAACATTCTTATTTTAAAATAAATACTTAATTCTTCTACGTTTTCATATTCACTTTTACAAAGCCGTACCCAGACAGACAATATTCATAAAGAAAAATCTTATTACGATCTTTCACTCTTAAATTCTATTTACGGCACTTTTTTATATTTGAGTTCTTTCTATAACTTTTATGAAATTACATCTATTTTATAATATGATAACAAAACACGCCAGCAATAACTCTTGCGATATAATAATATACAAAGTAGACGAATTATAATTTTATTATCATGTTTTATGGGATCAAGTTTATCTGTCTGATGAAACTGTGAATGTTCCATGACGTCGCGAAAAATCGAAAGCTTTATGAAGAAAGGTCATATAATTTAATATTGAATCGTATATAATATATATACATATATACCTACACACACACACACACACACACATATATATATATATATATATATATATATATATATATATATGTATATATATATATGTATTTATATAGAATGTATTTCATTTAAAAAAACTGTAGTGAATCGAATAAAGTTTAACAGGATTGTTAAATTTTATTTATGCGGGAAAATAGCAATTTCCAAAGTAATATAATATTGTTAAAAGTATTTTTATTCTAACCATAGTACATAAAATTGTTGAAACTTAGATAACTCGCTGATATTTTTATAGATTATTAAAATTGATTAAATATAAAGTTTTCAATGACTTTGTGAGAACTAAATCTTTGTGAAATCTTTTGTTTGCTTGTATGGAACTTTCCTTTCCCTTTCTATTTCGTATTTTGTCTCATTTTGATCGAAAAGGACAAGAAATACAGGTCACAACATATACATTTCACATAAAACAAAACAAATTGCTAGTAATTAACTACTAATGTTCAACTTATAGCAAATTAACGAACAAAGCGATCTATCTGTAAACAAGTAAGGGATCGTTCAAGCATTACGTAAGCAGATTTATTACAATTATTTACCCCCCATCCCCCTTGTCAGCAAAAGTAAGCAAAGCTCTTATCCCCTACCCCCATGCTTACGTAAACATTTTGCAATTAATGTAAAAATAAAAATACTACCTACGACGTAATCATCATCCAGACTCCCTTGCCCCCCATGTAAACCCAAAACAAGCAAATCAACAAACCCCCGCCCCCCTATGGTGCTTACGTAATACTTGAACGGTCCCTAACACTTATTAAAAGAAATCGTACAAAAAAAATTTTTTTTTGACTCTCTGTTAAATGAATCGTGTTATTGTAGGGTGCTGATTCAATGCAATAATGGAAACTTGTTCGAACGAACATACTTCTCTTTTTAGACTCTACCTCAAAATCAGTATATGTACTCGTAGTTTAGCTGTTATGACGACTGTCCTACCATACCATAATAAAACAAAATTGGGAAAAATATGACTCATTAAGTTTCGCAAACATAATCTTTTGATAGATCTCAAGATCTAACACACAAATGTAATTAGTCATCATCTACTCACCGTCATGACACACAAGGGGGTGACATAGAGCAGAGCAAAGTTGACAACATCGAACAACTCTGCGTTGTACCTTTTCCTGTGCTGAATGCATATCGTTTCGCTCCGTCCGTCGGGAAGGACATTAGTTATAGTCTGCACCCAGATGAACTTGGGGGAACTGTAGGCGGCCGACGTTATCCACACCGCGACGATCACCAGCTGAAAGCAAAAAATATGAGTCAGATCGCGGGTCAACGCGTTTCAATGCAGCCGGAAAAGACGGCAAGATTATAAAGGATGGCGTAGAACTTTATTTAGGGCGAAGAGTGAATAATGGAATCAGATGTGACATCGATACAATATGGTGACGCCACAATGAATATTTACATGTGTCGATAATAATATAGTCGCCAACTTGGGTTTAAAATATGTCAACCGAATTATTCCGTTCTAATCAAGACTACATGTCTCTTTCCTTCCAAAACTTTTGACCTAGGTTTCAGATATGAGGTCAGTTTGGGTCTAGTGCGTTTTCAGTTCGCTTCCAGTTTCCTTCCGAGTCAGTCGAGTTTAGCAGTTTTGCTGAGTTTCCATTTATTATTTGAAGTGAGGTCATTTTTTTAGTTTATTATTATCAGAGAAGAAGAACGTTTTAGTTTTCAAATACAGTCCATTATTCAAGAATAACCAGCGATTCCGGAGGTCATTCTTTTAATCAAGGCCACATAACAATAGCGTAATAAAAATAGTAAAATTAGTAGTATTGAGATATTGGTGTAGATGTGCACCTCGTATATATATTCACAGCTTTACAAATAGTCTTATTTCTAGAATACTTGAGGCAATTGGGTTATTAATTTTGACTGAAATTACAGAAATGTTAATTACGGTTACGGATCTAGTATTTAAATAAACAGAATTAATAAAAATTAAACACAGTAACAAACTCGCTAGGGGCCGTTCAAGTATTACGTAAGCACTATAGGGGGGCGGGGGGGTTGTTGATTTGCTTATTTTGGGTTGACATGGAGGCAGGGGAGTCTGGATGATGATTACGTCATAGGTAGTATTTTTATTTTTTTACATTAATTGCAAAATGTTTACGTAAGCATGGGGGTAGGGGATAAGAGCTTTGCTTACTTTTGCTGACAAGGGGGATGGGGGGGGGTAAATAATTGTAATAAATCTGCTTACGTAATGCTTGAACGATCCCCTACCAAAAGTTTACATTATTATCTATAATATTTATTAAATAATTTGTTGTAAACATTTTGAAACTAGATTTGTCTCCTCTTCAATGTGATGTACATTAATAAATTCATTAATTTCATAAAATATTTATTAAAAATGAAATTTTTTCAACAAATATATAGGCAACAATGACAATTACACAAAGACAAAGGAAAAAATAATTGTTGATTTTTTTTATATTTAGAGAAAAAAGATATTTATGCTATCTTTTTCTCCAAATTTAAAAAAAATCAACTATTATTTTTAGTACTAACAGACGACATTTTTATTATTATGTTGCTATTATTAATTTTAATAAAAAAATCTACAAATGTTTTAATATTCTAGACAATATAGTAAAAATACTAGATGTTACGCTCAATAACAAATTATCCAAGGTAATTTAATATAAAGTCCATGAATATTATGATTGTTTAATTAATGTAAAATACTTTATCATTACTTTTTAACTACTGGTAGATCTTTATCAAAAATCAGCATGATATCAACCAACATCTTTGGAATGGCTTTTAAATTTTCAAAATCGTCTGAATTTTTTTGGAAAACATCGAATATTTTTTGCGTTTTTCTGCTAATTCTAAAGACATGGTTTGGCCGATTGTGTAAAACCAATCAACACTTACTTTTTGAGTTTTATCAAATGGTTCTTTATTATTAAAATCGGTTCAGTCATTTTTGAGAAAAACACTACAAAGTAAAAAATTGGCTTATATATACACACTTTCATACACACATACCTATTTTTTCCAAATTTGAGGTCAAATACTTCAGAATCACTTGAAACGTTGAAATGATAATAAATTAGAAAATTGGATTCTCTGCCGAAAACATTTATTAAAATAATTGGAGTATCCGTGCAATTAAGCTGCTCCAGTTGTGAGAAATTTTGCACTGATTCTACAAATTTACTCTTACTCATAAAAAATGTTATAATGTACTTTACATTAAATTTCACTACCAGATATTAATTTTAAAATCTTGTATCCGTAGTCCACTGCGCAGAAATCGGATCAATTCCGTGGCACGTGGAAGTCCATAAACGAAATACTTGTGCAAATAACAGACGTCGCATATGAAAATCGCTCTGGCACGACTGCAATATATTTCCTAGTGAACTAAAGACAAGTAATAACTAAAGTTTATTGTCAACTAAAGTATATACGTATGCTAAACGAACGACTGGGAATCGCGCTTCTGCATATTGCGACTGAGAATGGGCTACTTGTTGAAGCCGAATCGCATGCACGGATTTCGTGCTGGCGATGGCAAAATAACTGTCATTTATTTAAATAGAAATTGATCCGTAGGGTTCCTTAAATATCGAGAATTGTAAAGTCAGTTATTAATAGTTTCGTAATGCAGAGCAAAGTAATTTACTAAAAATACAAAAAATCGTAAAAGACAATTCATATCTTTCCCTTTCAAATTTCCTGATTATTTTCGGGTACTTTAGAAATTGCACCCTAAAACCTAAACTTGGTTTAAATTGCTTACTTTCAGTTTATTATAGCAACTTTTATTCTTACGTTTCATACGGCATCCAATTCTGGGGTTTTTCATCCGAACTAATTAAAATATAATATTTAAGCTTCAGAAAAAAGCTATTCGAATAATTTTTTCCTTGCCCAGTAAAGCCTCCTGCAGACCCATATTTAAAAAACACAATATTCTAACTGCCCCATGCATTTTTCTGCTGGTAACATTACGTTTCATCAAAAACAATTCGAAACTTTTTGATATGGCTTCGTCCTCCTCAAACTACAACACTAGACACAAATTTATTAAGGCGCGCACATATAAATTAGCCAGCTCTTTCAATACGATCGACGGCCTAGGTATTCAGCTTATGAATAAACTTCCACTCAACATCCGAAACTTAGACAGCAAAAAATTTCATGCTTCCCTAGTCAAACTTTTTAAAGAATTAGCTTTTTATGACATTACTGAATTTTCTCAATTTGATATCAATAACTATTTTCTTGCATAATCCTTATCCTTTATCTATGTAGTCTGAGCATTTGATCGCCTGTACAACCATGTTTTTTTTTATTTTATTGCTATTTTATTAATTTAATTTTTTTACGGTTTTAAATGAGTATAACTTTTAACCTTGTGCAAGAATTTTGAGCTTGACTGGTGGTCAAATAGACTTTAATATGATGAACTTGATGATGAACATTGTATTTAATGTTCGAATGCTTTTTTTTCAGCTCTTTTTTCAGAAGCGAAATTTGTGCATCTACTATGATTATTATAAAATTACTATCCTTTTAATATTAATTATGAATAAGCTTGACAAGAGCCTGAAATATCTATTATTATTGATTGCGGCTCAGGAGCTCAGGTTATCTACACAAATGAGTATGCTTAATCGTTACGCTATGAAACACAGGTTTTTGGCACTAACATACATTCTACACAATGTTTTATAGATCGAATTTATGTATAATAATATTATTATTCATCACATAATATATATTTGTGTAAATATTTTTTTTATTTTTTATAATTCTGGCATCTGGGAATCTGAGCGTAAATATTTACATTATATGTTCACACAAATAACAATATTATTCTTATACAAAATAAATATTGTTGTATTTTATTATCGATTTTTAATAAAACATGCTTTTATTATTCTAAGAGCTGATTTCAAGTACCAGGTCTTTTGTAAATGTTAAACCAGTTTTTGATTGTAGGAAAACAAGTTGTTTTCCACGTTGTCAGAAAGCGGTGTTTTTGAATGCCATGTGTATATAGAAACAGGAAAATTGAATTCGCAAAAGATATAAATTGAATTTTTAGAATATTGTAATCAATAATTCCACAGTCGCCGAGAGCATCCTCGAAATTTGCAATATTGAACTAGTTCACACAACGAGCGATACAAAGTAAATATTTCGTGTTTTGTTTGAACAAATAATATATATGGTATATTGTGATCGTATCTGATGAAAATTTTACGCACTTTTTTTACGAATGTGATGCCTGGCAGAAATTTAGACGTGAAATATTTACTAGTTTATATTTATTTAAAAACCAGTTGCATATTATTTTACAGATGCAAAATGAATCTCTTGAAAAAGAGTACATACATATAAGTATTCGTAAAAATACAAAATAACAGAGAGTAAGTATTAAGACGGAACTATGTATTTCATATTTTGATGAATATTGTATGTTTATAATTATAGATTTTTCCATGGGCTATGAGTTTCCATGCGTAGTTTGACTCATATTTCATGTGTCTTCATTCAGTCGGAACGCTGAATAAAGTTTAAAATAAATATAAAAATATCACCCGAGACATGATATTATGTGGATGCTTATATATATATATATATATATATATATAAATATACGAATATATATATATATTTCATATGTCAAATTTCCAAAGAGTATTTCTACGCGATCTACTTTTCTATAAATCTCTGTAAACGAGCAGGATATAAGTACTTTTGAATCTATTTCCAAATGCATATGTAATATTGCAAACGAAAAATCGAAATTCGTAGAAGCAGAGGTATCTGTCGAATATCATAATATTACGGATACAGAACAGATTTTCTGTAAATGTTTACCATCTATGATTTGAAACGAATAAGTAATTTTATCGATTTATCAAGGATTCGTAAATAATGAAATGGAAAATTTTTCTGTCATGGAACTTTTTGCATACACTTGTACATGTCTTATATATATACATTTAATTCTAAAATGCAATTATTTTTAGTTTAGTTTTATTGTTATGTCTGTACATGGAAATATGTAAGGGAGAGAGTAGAAAAGTCCATTATCGGCATCTCAAAAACAAGTAAAGTTAAGAATTTTTCAATGAAAATATTTGAAAGTAGAGGGAGAAATATGTAAATAATAAACATCTTGATTCTTACGACATTGCTATCGGGAGATAAATGGCAATATTTTAAAATCTATAATAAAAGTATTTTATTTCATTGTTAGTT